AATATTTCCTATAAATGTTAGGCCTTATTCTTTTCACGCAAAAATTATATCTTCAAACTGATTATTATGAAATAAATAAACTTCACTTATACATTATGTTCTGGTTTAAAGACATGATATATAGAGTGGTGTATTAAACACAAAATATCTTAGAGAACTTTCAACATCTGCATCTGACTGAAGAAATAATACCAGTCTTATTATAAATTTTACATTGTGCTTTTATATTGATTGCTTTGAAAGGAAAAAAAAACAGGGTCAAAATTACTCCAATATAAAACTGTAATAAATGTTGTGTTATATTCCCAAATATAAAGAAACTAAATAACTACACATTTTTTCAGTGAGGGTTACTTAGGGAACATATATACGTACTATATGTGTAAACCATCGTTGTACAATATAATGTAAAGAAACTACCGCGCATCACACTTCCCCTTAGCGAATAGACTAGCCGTTTATAACTCTACTTTGGTTGAGGCCTCATTACTTTCATGTTACAATAACTTAAATAAAACTAAAAAAGGAACATTTATATTAATCTTAAATAAATTAGATTCTCAAAAAATTGCTCGTCTTTTTTCAGTCAAATAATAACTTAAATTGTTTTATTCTCAAGGTTTATGCTTAAATATTTATTATTTAAAGAAAACGAGCCGAGATCATCTACGGCGTCGAGAGTTTTAAGTTGATCCGATGTTTTTTTAATAATTTTAATAAAATGAATGAATGATGATAAATAAAATGAAAAATGACGAAGCAATTTTTTTTACAATTTTCTTAGTATACAATTTCAACAGAAATAATCTACAATGAGTAAATATCTAAAATATATTTACAAAAATGTAGTACATATATTTGGAAATTAAAAATATTTCTGATTTCAGTTTAAAATTATAAAACAATGATAAATTATGCGAAATATAAATGCCGAATCACCCTGATGCCAACTGAGCATAAGCTAAATAATAAATTAATTACAATTAAATTATTATGGCAAGCAGCTACACATAAAAAATAATTTCTTTTGTACCCTTATTTCATAAGGTACACTCGACCACATAAATAATGACCACCTTTTCTTTAACACATTTGCAAATGTTAACTAAAGGTATTATACGAAATTACGGTCTTATAACTAACAGCTTCATAGATAGATAGGTACTCTATATTGCACACCATGAATAGGAAACTTACAAAGTAGAATACAAAAAAAAGTAGTGCAATGGGCAGTCTTATTGCAGTCTGCGATCTATTGCAGCCAACCATTAGATAGACTAAACGGTACAGTATTTTTGTAGTTTTTGGTGCTTATTACAAGTATATTGTAATGAGCATCGTATATTGTAGTATATTGCATATCACATTACATAATTAAATGTAAATAAATAACAGTAACATTTCAAGAACACCTATTGTTCTAGGTTCATTTAGAGGTGGGTTAAGTTACTAGTTGGTCGACTGTACCCGTTACGATACCACAAAACATTAACCGACATAGAATATTATTTAATTATTATAATCAGCTTTATATACATTTAAGGGTAAGCAGTTGTTGAAATAGTCAGTGACTGGCTGACTGGCAGTCAGTGACCGACAGTCAGTGCTGTGACGGTTTTGTAACTTATACACACATAAATAAGTTTCGTAATATATTTAATAAGTAGATTCATCATTTTCATTAGAAAATCAAACTTGGTCTGTACTATCCTACATGAGATTTCTAGAAAGACATGAATTTCATGTGTTATTTTTATACATGGCACTCTTAGTCTCTGAAGAACTCTCTTTCAATTTAAAAACTATAATATGCGTCTCCACTGACATACGATTGAGATTTTTATCCATTTTTATTCTAACGTATACCAGATCTTGCTTAAATTTTTAATGATAACTGAAAGTCAATTGTTTCAGAAATTGTTAGAGATCGCTCAGATCATGTTTCATCAACAAAAAATCCCAAGATTCTATCTTAAGTCTAATTCTACATGAAATGTGAAACAACTTGTAGATGGCGCTACTAAAGCATTATAATATTACACATTATGTATTTTTACCTCCTTTCTAAGGAGAGGCCTATGTCCAGCAGTGGACTGTCATAGGCTGTGATGATGATGATGTATTTTTTTATTATTTAACATAAATACAACTTGCTTTATCAGAATTTTAAAACTGACTTTACATTCTCTGAAATTACAAAAAAAAACTGAAAGTGCAAAAATGTTATCAAGCATTTTGACGCTAAAGTCATTTCTAATTTTACTTATTATATTAAATATATTTTAGTATAAATAAATATATATCATCAATTGACACTAGTAATTCAAACTAAGCTTAATAGCCTACTAATAACATAGAGAACTCAGTACTGGTACAGACAGCTAGGATTTTATCACTTGTTCTGTGTCTAGGTAAATTACATCTAGACACCGGACATGATCGTCCTCATCACACAATTGAGTGGGAATCGAAGTCACCACCCTTGGCTTAGCAGTCAGAATCACTAACTAATAGATCATCAGGGTAAAATTCCTTAGTTGCTGTCTTAACTCAGCATTCTTTACATTATCAGTATAAGACATTATGCAATTTGGTAACTAACCTTTGAGTTATTTAATGGCTAATATATTACATTCAAAATATACATATAATATCTACAGATGGCAATATACGCTTTCACACTTAGACAATAGCAGTCATTTTGGAATGTTATAATTTACAATGTAGAAACTGTCTTTTGGTTTAGTACGGGGCAACATCTTGAACTGCCAAATGATAAATTAAAACATAACATATAGAAGGAAGTGTTTTAAAAAAATGTCTAAAACTCCCATTGACATATGTATATATGCACTTGAAAGTTCAAGATCAACCCAATGATGTCCTAATAGGATACCGAATGTAAGAGTTGTAACTTATGTTTCTAAATAAATAGGATAAAAGAAAGATAATATGCTTAGTGTTTTTATGTGACATGATGTGGCAAAATCTACAAACAGCAACATATAAATCAACTCCATCTAGTGAATGATGGTCGAACTACGTTGATACTACAAATTCTTGCATCGCGCAATTGAAATACTCACAATGATAAGACATCTTCAGCAGATCAATCCGGTCGTGGTCTTGCTAGAACTCACTAGTTATTTCACAATTTCATTGAGTATTCTTTTACTTTCGTTACCCCTACAGTAATATTGCTTACTAAATTCTAAGGTAGAAAGCCTATACCTATATTAGGATCATCTACTAAGTTTTAAATTTTATACTATCCTGTTCTTCACATGCCGCTTGTCCAGTTTTTCATATCTTGATACAAAGTTTTATAAAAAAGAAACAGAGTAGTTTATCAGCCACGTTAAATAGCTCGAGCATATTATGTAGGGAAAAAAACTAAATAAATAATATCTTATCACACGTACAGCTTTACACCGTAACGACTATTTTCCTTTGCCTATTCTTGGATACACTTTAGACCCGGACAATCTCTGTTCTTCAAATCATCAGTTTTTCCCTTCTCTTTCCGTCTACTAACTTGAATGAGATCTCTTTGCCAAAACTCTTACATTCTTCATTCCAGACATGTTATTGTGGTATAAGATTATCAATATCTTTGGTGTCGTTCCTCAGGGTGAGAGGTAAAGTGCCGGTGCCGTACCGAATGCCGTAAGGTCGTAAGTGGTATATGAGGTAGTCGAGGACGTACATCATCTCTGGTGGTACGTAGTGGAATGATATGGCGTGGTCGGAACAGCAGTCCAGGCCCTGTCATACGAATTTTATTATAATTAACTGTAAGATTCTAATGGAGGTTTTCAAATTCAATTTTTTAAAAAATGTTTTAGCACTTGTACAGATAGATGGCACTAGTAGTTTAAGTTAAATGTGGGAAATGCATTTTTAGTAAAAATAATGTAGGACATATAACCCGTCGCTATCTAGAACTAAACTAAGCTAATCTTTTATGGGTTCTAAAACACAAATATATTGATACACTATTAGTTAAACTACCTAAATTTTATATATGAAGTAATAAGCCAAAACCTCCTTTCTAAGGCGAGGCCTATGTCAAGCTGTGGACTATTAAAGGCTGATGATGATGATATTATACATAAAAACGTCCAGACCAAATACGACATATTTATACATTGAAATGTTTGCACTGAGCGCCACATGACGGATATTTTTAATACTTTATATGTTTTTTTATTATTATATTTTTTCTTGCTAAGTTTTATCAACTTTATTATTTCGGAACCCTGTAAAGGTGTATTAATTTTCAATTTCATAAAGTGTAGGTCTACTTGATCTATTAATGGTATGTTTAAAGTATTCTAAAATCCTCAAATCGGAAGGTACCTTTACAATTAAAAATAAATACTCACCTCATCCGTAGGGTAGTATATATAGTTCCAATACCAGAAGCTTTTATCTTTGGTGGGGAACAAATGGTCTTTTGGTATAAATGGGAAGAATCGGCCACGTTTCATTTCGTCCCTGGAATCCATTGCTAGAACACCCACGTTGTCCAAACACTTGCCTGGAAAGTGAACAAAGTAAATTTAAATATTGTGTAAGTGGGTGTGTGTGGTGTGGTGACGGATTGAAAGTTTCACCCTCCTATTCATCCCGTGTGGTGACGGATTGAAAGTTTCACCCTCCTATTCATCCCGTGTGGTGACGGATTGAGAATACGGATTGTCACCACCCCCATTCATCCCGTGGGTGTCGTAAGAGCCGAATAAGGGAGCAAGCTATGCAGGACAACAGCACTACAAAGAGGAGGAAAACTTGACACAAACCCTATACCAACGCGTCTGGCCAGAGTGGTATAGTAGGCCAAAACCTCCTTTCTAAGGAGAGACCTATGTCCAGCAGTGGACTGTTAAAGGCTGTTGATGATTGATGATTCATCCCGTGGGTGTTGTAAGAGCTGACTAAGGGAGCAAATTTATCTGTTTATCTGTTGCCCTTGAGTGTATGTGTCTTGTCTTTCAATTCTACTAAGCCTAGAAGAAGCTTACGAAAGAAAAGATTAAAAAAAAGAAAGACAACTCCTGCTTTAGGAATATATAATGTGTTGCGTGGGACTTTACAAACATACATGAAATCCACACAAAGAACACCCAGACTCAGAACAACAATTTGTGGATCACACAAAGTGGTGTCCGCTTAAACCAGTACACTACACGTGCAGTCTGCTTACAGTTCAGATAAATACATATTTTTTGAGAGGGGGCAGACGAGCAGATATAAAATATTATAACTACGGTTTAAAAGACGGTTCTCCCATAGACATGACAGAGAATGTACTGAGCGTTTTTCTCACAAAAGTGACCACTCTCTAGAAAGAGACAAAGCGACTGTGCGGCCAATACCTGTCTCTTTTCTGCAAGCTTTAATTTTTTACTTATTACTGTAGTATACTACATATATCATAAATTTCTTGAATCATCTTATCGTAGGAATATTGAGTGTATCTATGACCAGATATTTTTTCATAAAATAACGTAAACTTCTAATTAACTGAATACTAGAAATAGACTACAAGCCGCATAATTGCTTTGTCTCTCTCGTACTTTTCGATCTGTATTCACTGCACAAATTCACTGCATTAAATACGGAACGCGCAGTCCATTCTCTATGTCTTTCCACAAGGCTCACTTACATTACACACCTTACTTATTGTAATAGTATTGTTTAATCGGGTATATGTCTGGATTTATATCTTAAGGGAAAAACTTTTTGTTCCATTTACAAATCAGTGTCTTAAAAAAAATATTACATACCTATTTCAAAAGAATTGTGAAAGAGGAGTATTCTATGTATATATATCTATAAATATAATAATTCTACCACTTGTATAATAATTCTACCAAAAGAGGATCAGTGACTTTTAAGATAAATAATCATGTGAGTTCTAATTTCAAATAAAAGTCTAGTTACCCATTTCAGCGTCTTCTGCGCCCTGGTCCCCGGCGTGACAGTGATGCGGTGTCGGCAACGCCTTGTTCACGAACCTCTCTAACGCCTCTTTACTTAGCACGTAGCCAGCACCTCCGCTCATGTAACCCTGTTATAAAAACAGAAGTAGAGATAGGTGATTATTGACAGAAGACAAGCGAAGAAGGGAGAATAACAAAAAAGGATTTTTTATTCATATAAAGAAGCCTAAGGAGCTTGTTTGTTTTCTCGGACTAATGTCATCTTTTTTTTATATTGGATATATAGTTTCATTAAGTGTATGTGTCATGACGCTACGACTAGCCCAACTTTGAGCAGTGACCATACAGGTGAAACTGCTGCACTTAGGCCTCTCCTTAGAAAGGAGGTTTTGGCCTACTATACCACGCTGGCCAGACGGGTTGGTGTAGGGTCTGTTTCAAGTTTTCCTTGTCTTTGAAGTGTTGTTGTCCTGCGTAGTTTGCTCCCTTAGTCGGGTCTTACGACACCCACGAGATGAATAGGGGTGGTGACACTCTGTATTCTTAACCTCCGACGCGTCGCCGTCACAACAGTTGTGACTCCAAATTTTTACGCGGTAGCGTCTCTGTCACAACATTTAGAAGAATATATATCAGGGATTATAAAATAACGTAGATATTGAGGTAATAATGACTTCGCTCAGCTGTGACTGGGTCACTAGTTCAAGGGCGCGACAGTAACGGGTCATAGGTCATCCGCGCGCCGCGACGTCCTAAGAGTTAATCCGTCACCACACGGACAGTGGAGAATTACAAGTTGCTATTTTTTCCTGTTATGACGGGCTTTGAGCTCCGTCTACAGACGTGGAATCTTTTCAAAGACTTGATTATTTAACTTAAACTCCCAGTTTATTTAGTTCATTGAGTCTCGCAAGTAATTCAAGTCTATAGAATACAATTTGGGCATTTAAATTATTAGCAGTTCCTGCTGTACCTTCTAAGTACATATATAATTCTATACATATGTGAATAAAAGAATCAGGGTTGTAACCATACTGCGACACACTAACGGGTTCTTTCCACTTGAACCCCCCGTGGGGGTCGAACGTTGACCGAACCTAAGGGTCCATGGACACTAACTATTACACTTGGACCCCCTCAATATAGTCTTTGCATATGGTTGTCTGTAAGAGATCGCCTCAGAGCCGCCGCTAATTGAGTTGTTTACAAAGCTAGATTTTAATTCTCAAATGTAATATCCTTTAGTATTAATTAAATAATTATGGTCGCACTCAGGGGAGAACTTCAAGTAGGTTTAGGACTCTCCCGGCCCGCCAGGCCCAGGAACGGGCCAGGTACCGCAGGCGACTCAGGCGCCGGAGGTCGCAGAACGACCTCCGTCCTCCATAAGCGCAGGCCTGGGGGTGACAGGTGAGGCCATCTGTCACCCTAGCAGAAGCAGGCCGGGGTGGCGGCGAGCGCTTGCGAAGCGCGCTCGCTTCCAGGGAGCAGAGGGAACATGGGGTTCCCACACGGGGGGGGGGTCGTCTATCTGTTGTTGTAGACGGCCCGAGGTATGTCGGGGCACCAGGGACTTCCTTTCTAGGGTATACCTGGTTCCCCGGCTATTAGTACCCGAGACGGCGTGCGGTTTTAGTCGGTTCGAGTCCGACATGCCACCGACAGGTGGTATCCGATGGGATTTCCGCACGGAAAAAAAAAATAAAAAAAAAATGGGGAGAACTTCAAGTAGAAAGATGCACTCAGTTACTACCACGCATGAAAAAAGAATGCACCCTCAAGGTATAAGAGAGCAGCAAATAAATACGGACCTGTGGCGAGAAATGTTTGAATCTGCATCCGAAGTATATAGGTCGATTGCTATCGTAGTCCGCCAACATATACCTTAAGTTTTCCACCACCACGTACCTGCAAATAATCATTTTCATTGCTATAAGAAATAATTCTATTGGAAATATTAGAAAAGTATTTTAGGACGTAGTAACAATAGCTTGATACATCTCACACACCGCCGATCCCAAATTAGGCAGAGTTACTGTGCTATGGCAACCTACTTGTTTAATTACTGAATATACATATATGAAAGCACGTAAGCGCGTTTTCATCTTAAGATATAATATAACCATATAATACAACCACCACACACAACGAAAATAAGATTTTTGTCTACATTATCTTAACAAACCAAACGATATTCGGTATTAATCTTAAGGTACTAGATTTTTGTGTTAAGATATGAAATATATTGTTATAATAGATACTTTGAATTGACATAAAACCTTCATGGTGTGAGATTTTTTTACATGATACCTATGAGGTTCTTCTTTAAAAATGTGTAACATTCGATTTTCGACTTTCAATTGTTTTTTAATTCAGCTTAGACGTGACAGACGGATACTTGGAAAAGCGGTCATTTTTTAAAACGATTTCCGACGCGGAAAAGAAACAAGAGACTGCTAATGAACACACCGTGCATTTTCGATTTAAACGCTTTCGTAATGGAAAGTTCGACTTGAAGAACGAACCTCGTAGAAGACAGGTGTATAACGCTGAATTGAAGGAGATGGTGTAAGCCGATCCGAGTCAAACTACCCAGAAATTAGCAGCAATAATTTTAATAGTTTTTTTTTTAATTATCCCGTGTACTTGTACACGGGATAATTAAACATACAAAGGCCTCACAGATGTGTTAGTAACTCCTATCACAATTGTCATCATCATGTAAAAAGATTATAGAAATTGGAACAAATGTATAAAAAATATTTCCTGTACTGCGTTAAGCGATAATGGACTATGAACGATAATAATATACAAAGCATGTACATATATAAATAATTGTGTTTATGCAACATAACGGCAATCATGTATGAACTATGAAAAATAACGTAACAAAAAAACCCAATTCATTAAGAAAATAATATGATTACTTAGGAATAAATTTTATTAATTAAACTTAACATTATTTCAAGATAGGGAAATTAAAGTGATGTCATCGCAACATAACGTCTACAAATTCGAACGTTCTATCTCAAAACTACGGTATTCCGAAAAGTAGGTATATATTTTTCTAAGAGAAGTTATTTATATATATGTAAACTAGACATTAAACGACACACACACCCACCAAACCACAATAAATTGCACAATTTCTCAACTCAAATTAAAACACGTGCTACACCGGTTTCCACTATTTCTCATGGTTCAGGACTGTATTATCCCTAACACAGGCTATTATGTAGCCTAGCTGGGAAAACAGCACTCAACCACGATATTATTGTAGACTTCTCATTTATACAATAAAAAGTTAGTATTATTATTTACAGGAAGAGTGCAGTTTCGAGTTAAATATACATTTCATTATTTTTTATTATAGATCGACTTTGAAAGCAATCGAAGCAACAAAATAAGTATTTAAATTTTAAACGAAAGGGTACGAGAATTGAACCCTGTGGCACGCCCAATGCCCATAGGGCAAGTGCTCCAGACACTCTTATTCCTTTGATTTCAACGTATTATATCTCTACCGCAATCGTATTAATAAATCCATTAGATTACTTCAATATCGTAATGCAACAAATTTTATCGTTGTATTGTTATGAATTACATGATCAACGTGATCACAAGCCCTACAGAGGTCGCAGAATCCATTGACAGCATAATGCATATCTTTTTTCTTCAGCATTCTCATTTTTATTTTTATTGTCTTCTTAGAGCTTGAAATTTTTAAAATTTTTTCTTACTTTTAACGCACTTGGTCTTTCGAAAACGACGATGTAAAAAGCTCGTAGTTTGTCTTGCTTCAAGGGGTTAGCGGTAGACAGAATTTTCAAAAAATCGTTTTCTTTTTTGCATTTTCTTTAAGTATATATATCTCTTAAAAATATTTTCTGAAAATTTGAAGTGAATCCGAAAAATACTTTTCGACTTATTCGACAGTTAACAAAGCTGCTACAACGGTTGAAGAACTATGATATGGCCCAGGAAAAGATGACTCGGTGTAAGTAATTAAATAATTCGTATTACTTTACATAAATCGAGTGTAAAACTTTATATGCGTTTTTCTCGAAACTATGTTTTTCGAACTGGTGACCACTGCTCGAAAACCGCTGAGTAGATTTTAATGAAATTTATACAGCTTTTTAAAAAACATAAAAAACTAGTGCCTGATCGAAGGATTTTTGTGTTTTTATTAAAGTTCGATTTTTTATAAACAATTAACTGTTGGTTTTACCCGAAAATCTGGAAAAAAATCCTGAGGTCGCCATTTTGTTATTTAAAAAAAATCGATCAGGCTATCTTATCTATATACTAGATTATCTTTTAAAAATTGTCCGATTGATTTTAGAGGAATCCCCAAGGATTTGTGATGGTCATCGCAAGGCACTTCTTTTGGAACTGGGTCAACACAAACAGCCATAACTTTTAAAATTATTAAAAATAAACTCAGTCTCTATCGACCCCTAACCCCTTAAACTTACGGCAAGTAGTTGACTAACTTCAAAGGTCGAAATGATTTTCTAATTCAACCTTAGACGAGGCCCTTGTGGTAAATTTTTCTGTGTCTGGGTGTACTTTATCTATAATATTTATGTGTATTGAAATATATAAGTATGTTTATCAGCGGTCTGGTTGCCATGGCACAGACTCTGCCTAGTTTGGGATCAGACCGCGGTGTGTGAGAGGTATGAAGATATTATTATTAATAAAGAGTAATTTGTTCAGTGTCATTTTATTTAAAGCAACAACGTGAGGCAATGACAATGTTAAACAGCCGGATAGGCAGCTCCAGTTGCGTCAGATCCGGTTACACAGCTATCCGTTTTATTTTTTGTATATTGTGTCTTTTACAACTTTATTATTGGTTCAGCCTTTATCGCCAGACTTATTTCGAGTTCCTACTTGTTACAATAAACTTGTTTAAGTGTTTAATTTTGTCACGTTTATTAGTCATAAGACATAGCGACAATAGTCGTTTTAACGTTTGAATAAACATGTTGGACCAAATTTACAATGCTTCTTCATTTCTTACTCTTATCTGAATTAATTATTACTCGTACTTTAAAATAACTCATTTAATTCAGTTTTTCTTTCTAAATTACCATCTTTTATCTAAGGTCTTCCTTGCGAAAAACAAAACTACAGGTACATTGCATTCCATTTTCAAAGTTAGTCCTCGCTGTGCAAATATTAAGGAAAAAAATGTCTAATCGTTTTTGGTCACCAGCTAACATTTTTCTCTAGGTAATCCAAAATAAGAATTTTTAAGAATAATTATTTTATTTTAATAGAATGCATTAGTAATTTTGACTGGCTTGATTAAACTAATACCTCGTCTAAATATGCAAGGGGGGATTTTTCTTATAATATAAAATTGCAATACTCCTTACACTAACAGATGTGGTATCAAGGTGAATTTTCAGAGTACTTAGGTCGATTTCTTGTTCGAATTTTAAATATTTGCACAGATGCTTATCAACGCAATTGCAGACGAATATTAATAAACTAAGTACGTAGTATTCAGCCTTATTCTGGCATATGTAAGGCTCGATAATTCTCGTTTTTATTTATTTAGTTATATGTCCACAAAGAAGTTAGTCGATATTTTAACAAGTAACATTAATATTCGAGTTTTATGGAAATAATAAAGTCGTCCAAACTAGCAATATCCTGTTTTGATAAAAACAGACAATAAGCCATTAAAATCGTAATGACGATTTCACTTCATGATCTAATAGTAATTAAGGATGTACGAGGGGTGATCAATAAGTAATGATAATCGAGTATTTCTAGAACGCACAAAAACCCAAATTATTTTTTTTCTGCTTGCTTATATATCCACTACTTCAGCTTCGAAAAAATGTATAAATAGGACACCATTACCGGGAGATACATTCATTTGAATACGAACTGTCGAAGAGAATACATCAAAATGGAGAAAAATGAAATAAGAGCTGTCATCAAGTACCTCTGCCTGAAAAAAATGTCTACCAAAGACATACACAGCGACTTAGAGGAAACATTGAGGGAGTCTGCTCCTCCATATTCCACAGTCGCACGCTGGGCAAAGGAATTTAAGCTGGGCAGAACCTCCACTGAAGATGAACATCGCGAGGGACGCCCTTCCACGTCCCTTACTGGAGAAAACGTCAAAAAGTGGAAGATATCGTGTTGGCCGATCGAAGGGTGACCGTAAGGCATGTAGCTGAGGTCACAGGGATCTCCTATGGCAGCGTTCAAAAAATCATTGTCAACAAAATGCATATGAAAAAGGTCTCTGCGCGTTGGGTACCGAGAATGTTAACCGACGAGCAAAAAAAGAAACGAGTCGACATTTCGAGGGTGAATCTTCAAAAGTTCCAGGCCGATAAAGAATTTTTTTTGTCGCGTTTTGTGACCATGGACGAGACCTGGATCCACCACTTTGATCCCGAAACCAAACAACAATCAATGACTTGGAAACGAGCTTCCTCACCAACGCCGAAGAAATTCAAAGTGTCAAGTTCAGCGGGAAAGGTTATGGCGTCTGTTTTCTGGGATGCAGAAGGAATTATTATGGTGGAATATTTGGCAAAGGGGGCCACTATAACAGGCTCTTACTACGCAGGCCAAATAAGAAGATTGCGAGAAGCTATTAAGTCAAAAAGACGCGGTAAACTGCGCGCTGGAGTGCTGTTTCACCAAGACAACGCCCCGGCTCACAAAGACGCAGTTGCGATGGCTGCCATTGAAGAAACGGGGTTCGAACTGCTCGAACACCCTCCCTATTCGCCAGATCTAGCTCCCAGTGACTTCTACCTCTTTCCTCGGCTCAAAGAACACCTCCGGGGCAACAAATTTGAGGACAATAGTGAAGTGATGGCCGCAGTAGAGGCATTTTGGGAGGGTCAAGACAAATAATTTTTTTCTAAGGGAATCATGGGCTTAGAAAAAAGGTACACTAAATGTATTAACTTGCAAGGAGACTATGTTGAAAAATAAAATACTTTTTTTAATCTAATAGTTCTGTTTCATATCGATTATCATTACTTATTGATCACCCCTCGTATAGATAAAGAAATAGAAATAAGTAATTTTCTACGGTATCGACTACTTTCAGTGCCAATGGTTAATCGCTGTTTTTTTTAGTGAGTCGGGAATGGCACGGTATTTGTCAGAGAAGGCATCTCTGTACTCGTTAATCGCCTAAAGCGAAGTCATCACTAGGAGGTAACTTCCGCAATTACTGGCACAACTCAATTTACGGCTAGGATTCACAGACTGCAATTATTCTATTTGCAAGTCGCTTTTGAAAGTGTGTAGACGATAAATTTCAGCAAAATCTTGTAAAACCGTTGCATCAAAAATCTTCTTCTGTTACAAAATAAAAGCAAAAAGCGTAACAATGGGTACGAGATTACATAGTAAGACGTAATGAATCGAATCTAATATCCCACGCATGTAAAAGATTTCTTGAGAAGTTTTGCTTTACGGTACTATACTTTTTTCTTGCTTATGTTGAAGATACTAATTCAGATTTGGCATGTACAATCATGAAGTGGTTTCTGTAATTCTATATTCATCCGATCATGAACTATAGTAAATAATTACTAGCTAAAAAACAAGTTGCCTTATTATGTGAATAAAATAAATTAGACTGAAGGTATTTTATAATCATGTTATAATCAAGTCTTAATAAAAACAATATTATTTACCGTTACCAAAGCAATATTAACAGGCATTGTTTTACAGTTACACTATGCTTCATACTTAGCCACCAATGACGTTGAAGTATAAAGGATAATGTTTATAAAGTAAAGGTAACATACTTTAGTAATTAAAATATTGACGTCCCAAACTTAAAAAAAAGTGAAATATTATACTAAAATCCTAGCTATTAAACTAGCTAAATTAAACTACTATACAAACGACATACAGCAATTAAAACTCTTTGGTTTCTTGTTGATCTATCCTTTATGAAATCATTCTTCGTCTAACAGCCCCAGCACATTATGTGATACTGGTCAGAAAGCTTGAACTTGTATGAGAGTAATTTCATACTGTTAACAACCATTTTAGTAGAAAATTGCACATCAAGTCCGGGGAATAAATTACGCATGTGTCCGGTGGTCCGTACCATGATATCCATTTACTGTCTAGATTATCTAAAATTATCCTTCCTTATCCTAGTTAATGGAACAAATCCTTTTGTTGTTTAAAAGCAAATTTGTAATTAAAATCTGATTAACACTTGGATATGGGTTTTGATCGTTGTGTGTGAGACATTTTTAAACTTTTAAAAGTTGAAATTATATATTTTACTCTGCAAAATAAATTAAATACATTTCCCGAATAAATGAATTTACAGTCCAGTACAGTAAATTATTGTAAAATGCGGTACACTACATGCACTTGTACTTTTGTTTATCTATTTAAAAGAGAAACAAACTAAAACTACTACTGAAACACGACTATAAGACTAACAAATAATTGTTTACTTATCATTACAAACGTTTGAGGATCGTCCTCAAACGTTTGTAAAGTATTTACATATGTAAGCGCGTTACACCCTTGTTTAGTCACGGTCGTGGTTTATCAATTCTACGCGTAATAGATTTATTTATAATAAGGGATTTGTCAAGGTTGTCCACACAATATTCTTATCTTACGAACGGATACAAACGCGTTTAGTTATATATTCGCAAATTAATAGACAACGATTGCTGCACAACACGAAATTAATAATAGTAGAATTATTTTAAAATCGTGCGAGTGTAAGATTATTTTCAGTAGCTATCCTAAAATGTCCGTGTGGTGACGGATTAAGAATACGGAATGTCACCAACCCTATTCATCCCGTGGGTGTCGTAAGAGCCGACTGAGGGAGCAAACTACGCAGGACAACAACACTGCAAAGAGAAGGAAAACTTAGCACCACCCATCTGGCCAGCGTGGTATAGTAGGCCAAAACCTCCTTTCTAAAGAGAGGCCTATGTCGAGCAGTGGACTGTTACAGGCTGTTGATGATGAATGATGATCCTAAAATGATTTAAAGTCGCCAGAGCCAAATACAAAAACAAGCCACACACTACCACAAGTATCCTATTTATTGACTCTGTATGTTTCACTTTCAATGCGTCCTGTCGAGTCAGTTAGCTCTGATGAGGCAGATATTTTATTGTTAACTTATTAACTTTACTACAATACATATTGTATAATAGAAAAGTAATTAAAAGTGAAAATATTTTTCACCTTACGCCCATGTGACGGTAGCGAAACGGCCAAACCACATATCCTGACTAAGTTAGGGCGTGTAGAGTTAGAAGCTTGGCTCTACACGAGATCTGATAACTTTTTGACAGTGCGAGCCATATGGTCTCGTTTTGGCAACATTTTACATGAAAATGTTATTGATTGGGTCTTTATTCATTCATTCAACCCACTCTCTATTTACCATTCCACATCACGACAATCTCTTAAAAGCTAAAAAAGATAAACAAGTAAAGTATTTGGATTTGGCCCACGAGATTGTCGACATGTGGGATGTTGATTCGGCAATCGTTGTACCGATAGTCATGTCGACCCATGGATTAGTTGCTAAGAGCCTCGACCAACATCTTCAGAGGTTCGCGTTAGGCAGTTGGATTAAGGGTCTGATGCAGAAAGCAGTTCTCCTCGATACGGCACGTATTGTGAGGAAGTTTTTGTCTCTGGAGTCCTAACCACCGATATCTTGGTCCCTGTACCCGATACCAATGGGACACTATTTTTAAATGTATTTTTTTCTTGTTTTTGTTTATAAATATATTTAAAAATGTAATTTATATGTATATTTAATTAAATAAAGAGAATAATAATAATAATAACTTCACACATCTCACACACGGCCGTCTAATCCCAAACTAGCCTGTACTATGGTATATCTATTTACGATAAAAGATAGTCCTAAGTATTATCTTACTAAACCATCGGTAGTATTAATGACAAGTGCTACTACTTGTGCTCACGATCGGCAAAAATAATCTAAAATGTATTCATATCTTTATTTGTGCATAATTTCAGGCTTAAAGTACGTCCAGTGTATTGTGGGCTTAAAATATTTGCGGTAAACGTGTTGTAGTCGCAGTAACGCAAGTTGTTTACAAAACATTATCCAGAAATATGACTTGAGAGTAAATATTAATATTTAAATTTTTAATAGAAATGTTAATATTGTTACAGTGTATTCAAAAATATTAGATATTAAGAAAGAAAGACAATCTTAATTTAATACCTTGCCAAATCCATACTAATATTATATTATATTATTATTTAGATGAAATTTGGTATAGTGATAGTTTGAGTCCCGGGAAAGGACATACCCTTCCTTTTATAGTTCGTGTATAGCATTTTTACACTCATAACTTGGAAATTAAATGTTCATAATTAAATGATATCTGCTAAACGAATTGACCAATTTTAATGATGTAAAGATAAAAAATTATCTACTTGAAATTATATCGATGATGAAATAATTTAATTTCATAAGGATTCATAGGGATAATCACACGAAAAAACGAATCTAAACTATGTAGTGGATAATGAATAACTTTAAAAATATAAAACTCTTTTTATAGCTTAGCTGTCATAAATGGATTACCCCCTCGCGAACTTTTTTGTAGATCATTTTTTAGTCCTACAATTCATGCACATAGTTTCGTTCGTTTATCTTTAACCATTTAAGCAGGGCACGCGAAGAAAGGAAATTTTAAAGAAGATTTTTTACACCTTGGTTAACATAACCTGTTTTTTAGCACATATCTAAGTTTTTTTAGAAATAAATTATAGCCTATGTTACTTCCTGATAATGTAGCTTTCTATTAGTGAAAAAATTGTTAAAATCGGTCCAATAGTTTTGGTACAAACAAACAAAAAATCTTTCTTATAAATACTTACACAAGTATAGATTACTCAAAACAAACATTGATGAACAAATTAAAATTTTATTACTGACTTCGATTGCAAACTCGTCTTGATTTTACATTGTGAAAATTTATGTTACACACATCACACCAACAGCTTTTACTAGTCCACAGACACCACAGACCACACTAAAAATAGGCCTCTCCTTAGAAAGGAGGTTTTGGCCTACTATACCACGCTAGCCAGACGGGTTGGTATAGGGTTTGTGTCAAGTTTTCCTTCTTTCTGCAGTGCTGTTGTTCTGCAGAGTTTGCTCCCTTAGTTGACACTTACAACACCCACAAGATGAATAGGGGTTGTGACACTCCGTATTCTTAATCCGTCACCACACGGAAACTGTGGTGACCGATTTTATTTGGACAATAAAACCCACATTTTTCTCGTTGGAATAGACCAGTGAAAATCAAGGATCCACTTGGTGATTTGTGGACATAAATCTTAATAATTAAATCAATATATCCCGAATAGCAGAATAATTATTATAATATTTTAAAATTCACGAAAAGAAAATTATGAAGAAAATTAAATTTATCAGAAAATATTGTGTATGAAAGCTATAACGGATGAAGAGTCGAGCTGTGACTAAAAACGCAGGTGAAACTGCGGGGAGTTCCCCGCAGGTGAAACTGCGGAGTTCCCCGTTTCACTTGCGTATACACTACTCGAGTATAAAATAATATACTTACGTATCATCATCAGCTTTGAGGAACCAGTCAGCCTCTCTTCTGTGGTGCTCGTATACGTATCGGAAGGCAGCCTTCGTCTTCGCCCATAGCGCGTCCCTACCCTCAGACACAGGCAGTTTTATTGCAGGCAGACTTAATTCTGAAATAGACAGGCTTACTGCTTAAAAAAGGCATTTAACAGTAAGTTATATTAGTCAGGATTTTAAAGACTTTTAAATTAAAATTCAATAAATTAATAAAATATGGTTTGTGTCAAGTGTTCCTTCTCTTTGCAGTCCTGCTGTCCTGCGTAATTTACTCCCAAGTCGGCTTTTACGAGACCCACGGGTTGAATAGGACGGATAGTCACACCAGTATCACTTATTTCTGATATGGGGGTAAACGAGCAGATGAATCACCTGATGGTAACTGACTACTTATTTATCGTGTGGAGTAGTATGTCAAAATCGAACCGACTAAAACCATACCGTGTTCCGTGACGAGTGAGTCTATTGCAATGGACTTGGGTATATTGGTGAATATCGGGGTAATGATAAACATACTCATATAGGCCTAGAGTTAACATCATTATCGATTACTTGACACATGTCACATCTCTGTGATCCGGTGTTGCCGGTGTTGGCGGGTGTGCTTCCGGTCGATCTCGAGGTGCAGAGACGTGCAGCCATGTACTATTCAAGACAACAAAACATGGAATGCAATTTTTTGGGCGCGCGGGATCGCGGTAAAATTACAAGATTGCTTCAACAGCAGTCCGATGTCTATAATGACCTCATAGACGAATGGCAACAACGCTGGGATGAATCATCCAAGGGGCAAAATCTTTACCAATTCTTTCCATCTGTTCGCGAACGGTTGTCGAGGACATGGCTTGACGTGGATCACTGTGTCGCTCAATTTCTTACGGGTCATGGTAACTTTAAGAGCAAGCTTTATTCATTTAAATTAGTCGAGTCACCATTGTGTCAATGCTCAACACCTAACTCTCGCTATGAACAGTCTGCTCATCATATCCTCTGGGAATGTAGTCTTTGGTATAATGAACGTAATATAATGCTGAATACCTTGCAGGTGACATCTGGGGCGGTATACTATGGGGATCTTGTGTCAACTAGGGTGAATTTCCGTGCGTTTAGGCGATTCTGCCATACATATTATAGAAATCAAATATAGCTCACGTAGGACCCGTAATATTTTGTGGCCGTGGTGCTTCCCTGTTTAAAAGGGTGTACCTATGCCCATTTTACTTCATTTTGTCTCCCGCTTTGCTAAGGAGGGAAGTGGATTTACTGTATTTCCAACTCCTCCAATTTTCTTCTGATTAATTTCGTTGCGGGTTCCAAGACAGTTTAATTTCTTCCTGGGACTTCCCGAGTGTCATAACTCGGTGTGTTCGTGGGTCTCTGCTGTGGATCCTGGTGTACAGGAGTTACAGTGGCGGGCGTGTGGGTGGGATTAGTCCGAATAAAAAAAAAAAAAACTCTGTGATCCCAAATGGCCCTGGTGCTTCCTTGTTTCGAATGGTGTATGCCTATTTTACTTTATTTTGTCTCCCACTTTGCTAAAGAGGATTTATTATATTTCCAACTAATCCAGTTTTCTTCTGGTTAATTTCGTTGCGGGTTCCGAGACCGATTATTTTTTCCTGGGATCTCCCGAGTGACATAACGCGGTGTGTTCATGGGTCATTGCTGTTGATCCAGGTGTAGAGGAGTTACAGTGGGCGTGTTGTGTGTTGGAGAAATTAGTCCCATCTCTTATTTTTCTTATTTAAAAAAAGACAACGCCCGCATTAGATATATATCCTGTGTCGCGGGGGACTTTACAAACATACATGAAACGGACACAAAGAACACCCAGACTCAGAACAACAATTTGTGGATTACACAAAGTGTCGCCCCATGTGGGGATTGGACCCACAACACTCAGCATAGTAGTAAGCGGCGTGGCGACCGCTAAACCACTACGCCATTGACGCAATCTCTGATCCCAAACTAGCCAGAGCTTGTTCTATGACAACAAGTCTGCTAATAAAAATATGTCCTTTGAATACATACATGTTTTATATTGAATTACGCAGACGCAGAACAAATGATCGTGCTCATTACAAAATTAACTGTCCAGGATGGGTATCGAATCCAAGACCACTGCCTTAGCAGTCAGGATTGCCAGCAACTACCCCAACGGGCCAATCATTGCAATTTAGATACAACATAGAGGTTAAATTAAGTAAAACATGTTCCTCCACGGAAATATGGCCAAATCTTATAATATTTATCAGGGTATTGTGAGTGCCGCGAAGTTGCACAGTAGTCCGTCGTTTGTTTAGCCTTTACACCAAAAACACATTTAAAAAAATCTTACGTGAGATTTGGGGGAAGGGGTTGAATCAAATCTCACGACATCTCACCTGGGAAAATCGCCGAAAACCCTTCACGTAATTAATGGACGCCCCCTTAAAAGACCCACCAACATTTAAAAATAAGTGAGGTATTTTTAATTTGATAAGGTATCTCCACTTCTTAAGAATGACATCAAATCAATGCGTAACTGATAAAATTTATCAATTTATTGATTGGGTAATAAAATCAGTGGGATTTTTATCTACTATTTATATTGTAAACATATTTTTATTAGATAGGTTATCTGAAGAGAGACCCATTACAACCAAAAAAATATATATTATTTTATAATAACGGAATTGCAAAAGACTCGGAAGTAGTTTGAAGTATCTACATTGTATATTTTTTTAAAGCAGTATTGTTTTAAAATATGACCCCTGTTTTGATTGTGTGAGTAGTCGTAAAATAAAATATAATGTATCAAATTACCTTCCTCAGTGCTCATGAAGAGAAGTTTATTACATCTCTTGCCCCACGTCGCCTTTACATGCTTGGCTTTGGTCTCATGGTTGTGCGGTTGGGTCATGACCCAACACAATACCCGGACTTTCTTTTTCAACTCATCAGCAATACTTGTGTCCTCATCTTTGTGTGCCGGTTCATCTTTGCCGTGTTCAGCGATTGCCGTTATAGGATGCTTGGCTAAGTCTCTGGCTGATTCTCTAGAAATTTTATTATAGTTTTAATTTTTATTTATGTGGGTAAATTTCGAAAACAGATGTAGTGGACCAAGATGACAGATGAATTAGTTTGATACTAAGTTTAGTCGATTTTACTAATAAAAAGTTTTTCTACGACAATAAATATAATGTTATCATCACGTATATTGACTATATAGGCATTTTTACTTAAAAAAAATAAAAGCGGAGCCGACGGGAAAAATTTAGACGGATTTGTTATAAAAAGCTATCGATAACTTGTTATTTTACTTTCTAGTACATAAGTACATAAAATAATCTTCATACTTGCAGAGTTCCTTTTTAACCTTTTGAGGTACGGAACCCTAAAAACGAGGTATCAATTAGGTAATACTCTGTTACTGCTGGTGCTCTAAGTGGATAAGAAACTTATTCTTATTGCATAGAACGTGTGCGCTTTGTGGGCGAGCTATTGGTGCAATTCAATTTGGCGCGCTAAATGGAATGTCTCGAATGACGTTTGTATATAGTCTATGACTTTTGTACTCTATTTTTTTCTCTTATATCGAGGTAATGAGATATTACATTAATAACAAATAGGTACCTTTTTCTATTATCAGTTTGTGACGCTCGACCGGAATTGGCGCAATAAAAATAATTTCAGTTCTAAATATAAATGGTGCTTGGTAAAAAAAAAAGCATTATAATAGAGCGCTGCAAAAAGAGTATCTATGGGATCTTTTACTTTTTTATTCTATTACTTTTTTATTATTTACAAAGACACCCTTTTTTATCCTTAAACGAATGTATCTGGTGTATCTGCAGTCAATAAAATCCAACTGATTCGTACAACTGTCTCAGGATATGTTATCTATTGTAACGTACGGCAGATGATCCATAGAGATGTTATTACAAATTGTTGCTATAACTACAACGATTGTCTGCCTGAACAGTTTTATGTTATTTTGTGGCAAGATGATGCGTTATTTTTGAAACGCTCCATTAGTTCTACAAACATACTTATCTACATTTAATATAGCCAATAAGCGACCGTTGTCTATGCCAAGCATGAAAATGAAATTATAGAAAAACCTCTACAACATATTCTACACACATCATTTTTACTTAAAACTATTTACAAAAATAAAATATTATTTAGCCCAAAACTCGTAAACGTCTAAATCGATTTGACTATATGTGTTAATTATAGGTAAGGATGTAGGCGAAGAAATATTAAAATAATTAAACGAAATGAGTAAAACAAATTATAACTTTTTATATTTTAATACATAATTATGTATTGCAAACATTACAATTATGGTAACTTTTTAATTGTTTACTCTCAGCTAAAATAAGTTCTGCGTAAAATTTTATTGGGCTCCTAACCCCATAATTAGACCGGATACGGCATCCTTATGCAGTCTTTACCCTTTGTGCTAATCAAACTGGCCTGCGAGTTGGATAATGTTAACAGGAAACTAAATGACCTCCTTATCTTCTATAAATGCCCTTGGACACTTGCTCCGATAGCACAACTGTGTTTGATCTCCACAGCATTTACGTAGTGCGAAATATATCAGTCCGTCTGTTAAATAAATATATTATTTAGGTACTCTAAATGTATACACTACATAATATTTTATACAGAAGTACACAAATTCCTAAAATGTATTAATACATTTACTTGAAAAACAAGGTAAGTACAAGCACTAGGTGTATTGCCAGTGTTAGGCTATAGTGACCTGTTATCATAACGTCCATTAAAACTCATGTTTTGCCCTGTATTGATAATAACAAATGCTATATCAACCACTTCAAGGAAACCAGTTTCCCAGCAGTAGATTTCACACTTTTAGCAGACTTTAAAGAGGGAACAGTAATAATAAGAAGTTGTTACATTTATCACATGTCCGTGTGATGACGGATTAAGAATACGGAGTGTCATCACCCCTATTCATCCCGAGTGGGTGTCGTAAGAGCCGACTATGGGAGCAAACTACGCAGGATAACAACACTGCAAAGAGAAAGAAAACTTGATACAAACCCTTTTTTTTCGGCGGATCGGGTCCGAGTGGAGGTCGTCCTCCCGGGCCCTCTCCGCCGCCTCCTTCCGCGAGATTACTACCTCGCAGAAGGTTGCGACCGCGGTAAAACAACTGTCGCTACCGGCCATGGAGCGTACTACGGCCGGTAGCGAGAGATCCACTCCGATGACTGCAGTGAGGGCCCGGCGCTGCGCCGCCCATGCGGGGCAGACCGCCAGCGTGTGCTGGGCCGAGTCCTCACTGCAGTCGCAGTGGTGGCAGGCGGGACTCAGTTCCCTCCTAGCGACCGAGTGCAGGTACTTTCCGAAGCAACCGTGCCCGGAAAGCACCTGCGTCAGCCGGAAGGAAAGGGTCCCGTGCTGCCGCCCTGCCCACTCGGCGATGACCGGCTGGAGAGCCTCCACGGCGGCGAAGCCAGCGCGTGGAGTCTCCAGCCGGAACGACCAACGAGCCATCGTGGCTCGGCGAGCGGCTTCGCGCCACTCGCGCACATCCTCGGGCGGAGGGCGAAATCCGCTCTCCGCCCGGTAGTCAGCCACTCGCCGATAAACTTCGGCGAGCACTTCCGCTTCCAAATCCCACGGGGGAGTTCCGGTCAACGCGCACGCCACCTCCGTCGAAACGGTGCGGTAACCGCGTATGGCTCTGACCGCCATTACCCTCTGAGGGCGCCAGAGGCGTACCCTATTCTGGGCGGTCAGAGCCGCCGCCCACACCGGTGCACCGTACAGTGCCATTGACCGGACCACCCCCGTGTACAGCCGTCTTGTCGCGACGCAGGGTCCACCCATATTGGGCAAAAGTCGCCCTAGGGCAGACGCAGCGCAGACCAGCTTTGGAGCAAGCTGTCGGAAGTGCTCGTCGAAGAGCCACCTCCCGTCGAGGATCAGGCCCAGATATTTCATCTGGGCCCGAACCGGTACGAGGACCGAGTTGACCACGATTGAGGCGCCAGGGGGTGGACTACGACGGGGCCCATGAAATAACAGGGCCTCCGTCTTATCTAGGGCCACCCGTAAGCCCAGCGCCTCAATGCGCCCGACCACCAGGGAGACTCCCCCTGTGGCCAGGCGCGCCGCCTCTTGGAAGTTTGCCCCCCGGGCTGTCACCAGGGTATCGTCTGCGTAACAGATTACACCCAGCCCGGGGGGGAAATCCGCGCGAAGGGCCCAGTCGTACCCTATGTTCCACAAGAGGGGTCCAAGAACAGACCCCTGTGGAACACCGCACGACATGGGCCGACACCTCAAATTACCTTCTCGGTCCTCGTACACGACGGTACGCTCCTCTAAATAGTCTGCCACTAGCCGCCTCAGGTACTTTGGCACCCCATGATAGTGGAGTGCTTCCCTGATGCAGCTGAATGGCAGACTATTGAATGCGTTGGCGATGTCCAATGACACCGCCAACAGCACGCCGCCACAGCTCACGGCCTCTTCGGTCACGGCCCTCAGGCGCAACACGGCGTCGACCGTCGAACGCCCCGCCCGAAAACCAAATTGGGCGTCCGACAGATCGGGGCCCACCTCGCAGAGGTGCCGGACGATGCGGGCAGAAAGAACCCTCTCAAACAATTTGCCCGCCTCGTCCAGCAGCACGATGGGCCTATAGGCAGCGACCGAATCGGCCGTACCCCGTCTGGCCCAGGGGCGGTGTTCTTGGAACGGATCCGTAGAACAGCCGCCCCTACCTCCGATTCCCGGACGGGCGGAACATTATCCTCCCCGTGCTCCCCGTCGTCTCCGGCCAAGGAGGCCATCGCCGGGGGAGTGTGCTCCGCTCGTTGTGGGAAAAGGCCCTCAACCACTTCTCGCAGGAAGCTGGGCTGGAGAGTCTCCGTATGGGGGGGGGCCGACGCGCGGAGCTTTTGTCTAGTCTAGTATTAGTATGGATAAGATAATTAGATATATAAGAGAATCTCAAGAAAATTAATATATCTTGTAGTCGGTCAAAAGTTTTCGGATATCAAGTACAATAACTAATCCATTGGAAATAGTATTAGTATTATATTTTTAAATTTTTAATGTTAAAAATGATAAAAGATATAGAAACTGATGAACGAGAATTTAATATATTTGAACTTTAATCAAAGACCTACGAAAATAGGAATATTTTACAAGCCTTCTGCGTATTCCTTAGAATGACATAAAACATCACTAAACTTCTGGGAACCCCAGAAATGTTGGCATTCATGTCTTTACAATGATATTGTCAACTCACAGGGATCGGCGAAAAAAAGAGACAATGACAAAATGAAATCAAAGACAAGACGTTCGTATTTCGAATCGTAAAGTTTAAAGAGCAGCGTTGAAAGTGAAAACTTTGATTGCAAATTTGGAACCAGTGTCGAAGATGTTCTACAGTTCAGATAGAAGGTAATGTAAGGATATGAACACAAAAACATAATAATTATTCTGAATTATATAAATAAACTTTTAACTTTTAAAGAACACCCATACTTAGAACAACAATTTGTGGATCACACAAAGTGTCATCCTATGGACCCACAACACTCGGCGTACTAGTAAGCGGCGTGGTAACCGCTTAAACCACTACGCCATCCGTGCAGTCAGAATATTATATTTTATTAAAATAAATAAAATTGGAGTGTCTGTTTGTAATATTAAAATAACCGCTTTTTACTAAATGCATATGTATGTTTACAAGGTACATATGCTAAAATAACATTTTTTACAATTTTTGTCTGTTTGTTCCGGGTAATCTCTGGAAGGGTTGGACCGATTTCGACGGGACTTTCACTGGCACATAGCTGATGACATAAGGAGTAACTTAGGCTACTTTTTTTAGACTAGCTTCGCCCCGCGGCGTTGCCCGCGGTTATAACAACAAATGCGGGTAACACCGCGGGTCTCAGCTAGTTATATTATAAATGTAAAAGTGAGTATACTTGTTTGTTAGCTTTAACGCCTACACCACTAAACCGATTTTGCAAATTCTTTCACCAATACAAAGCTACGT